TCGATGGGCCACCCTGTATATAATAATAATAGTAATAATAATAATAGTGTCTTTATTAACCAGCAGATACGAACAATGTAGACTAATTGTCAAAACAAAATACTAATTCAAATACAAAAATGGTGCTGGTTAAAAGGCGCAAGATCAGTTAAACTGTTCTTCCTCAACCCATGTTGGTAATAATACGAAGTACCTTGTTCTGCAGCACCTGCAGCCTATTCATATGAGTAGGTGGGATGCTGCAGTACACGGGACACGCGTACGTCATCACAGGCCTGATGATTTGCTTATATACCAGGACCTTGTTCTCCATTGATAATGGAGAGGTCCTGGATATTGGCGGGTACATCTTCTTTATCGCTCCTTGAATTTTTTGTATGAGGTAGTTGGTGTTGGGCCTGAGAGTCATACGGGTGTCCAGTGTAACCCCATGTATTTCACGGTGATTTTGTCTGCCACCTCAACCCCTTTGACGGTCAAAGGTCTGTCCAGCGAGGAATTATTGACTTTTTGATGGAAATTTATGACCTCGGTCTTTGTACTGTTTATACGGATCTTTAACTCGTCAAAGTACGGTATGATTCCACTGTCCAGATGAATCTGGCTGTGTCCTGGCGACATTCGAGTCGAACGAGTGAGCATATATTGCCGTATCATCGGCGTATCATCACGAGAGAGGACGAAAAGTTACTCGTAAGTCAAGTTATCCAACTTTCGAAACTATTTTACGGTATATCACCGGACCAAATTTGAGCGATGTGCATTTGCCTATGCAAAAAAAAATCAAATTGGAAATCCGTTTTCAGAAGATAATCAGTCTGCTGGTGAAGCGTGGCTCAGGGAATTTCAAAAGAGAAATCCCAATATAAGTTTGAGAAAACCTGAAGCTACTAGCATTAACCGTATAACGGCTTTTAACAGTGAGAAGGTGACTCGCTTTTATGACAATCTAACCAATGTGCTGGACAAATATAACTTTCAACCAACAAGAATTTCCAATGTCGATGAAACCGGAATCACAACAAATTAGATATACGTACTTTGTGTGCGATGAGTGCTTCTGGAATTTATGTACCACCATTATTCATTTACGCACGGAAAAGAATCAACCTTAAACTCAAGAGAAATGGTTCACCAGCAGCACTCTATTGTTGCACTGATAATGGGTGGATTACCGAATCTGTGTTTATCCATTGGCTTGAACATTTGAAAAAGTTTTTAAGGCGACTGAAGAAGATCCAATGCTACTACTCGTTGACAATCATTCCACGCATTGTACGCTGGAAACCTACACTTTCTGTAGAAAAAATAGAATCATTATTGTGACTATCCCACCTTACACGTTACACCGCCTGCAACCTTTAGACGGTTCTTTTTATTTTGCATTGAAGACTTCTCATAATACGGAGTGCAGCTACTATTTGAGAAGGTGAAAGGATCACTACCAATGAAATAGCCGAGATATTTAACAATGAATGAATGAATGAATGAAATCTTTATTGGTAGGATACATCCTAATATACAATACAATTTCTTTAAGCTTGATATTAAGAATAAATAAAGATAAATGGCTGAATATAATTAACTTGGTTAGTAATAGCATGCAATAATAATAGTAATATAATAATAATAGTAATAGTAATATATACAGACATACATGAGTGTACATTACATTTCCCTAGTAACAATTAATGAGGTGATTAAAAAAATATAGTAACAATAAAAATAGAAAATAGTGATCCAATGACATATGACAGATAACAATCATTTCCCAGCATAATATTAAGAATCAGTTTTGATATTTGAGATTAAGATATTCTTAAATTCATTCACTGATTTCGACTCTTTAACATAGCCTATAGCCGAGTGGCTATAACCTGGAAAGGCAATAAAAGTTTTCCAGGAAACAGGAATATTCCCACTGAATCGCGACCGTTTTACAGAAAGAGATTTTGCTCCTGCTGTAGCTCTTGCTCCTGTACAAGCTGCTGATATCGATGAAACTATCTTTAATCGAAATGAAACTGTTCAAGATAGAAATGCAGTGACCCCAGAACTCAGTGCTGTCAACACAGCCATTTTATGGCTAGTTCTAGCCATTTTTAAACTCGTCTAGCTACTGAAAATTGAATTTAGCCATTCAGCCATTTTTTCTAGCTATTTTTAATTTCAACTTTCTATAAAAATATATTCATATTCATAACATCCTTCAGTATGAAATTCATGATCCAAAAGTCAAATGCAGACCACTTTAGTCTGTATTTCTATGGATTATGTATTCCATGCTTTTTGTGCCATTTTGACAAATTGACAAATTTACATCACGTCAAACTATTCCAAGTATGTAGGTAATTAGGTTGTAGGATTTAGGAGCCATCTTTGATGGGATTAGGATATATTTGTTGTGATATCCTTTGTCAACTAATACAAATATAGACTGAAATGTACCTGTTCATATACCTGCTAACAAAATATTCAGAGTATAGATAGGTATTTTGAATTTTTTATCACAGAAAATAATGTTTTGTTTCATGTTGAAATAAAGTTTTTATTGTGATATGTTAGTAACTTTTTTTACTTTCAAGCATCAATATTAGAATCATCAGAATAATAATTTATGATACAATTGATTCATTAATTCATCCATATTATATTATTGATTGATTGCCACGGAACAGTTGACGTGTCACGTGACGTTGACGCTGCTCTTACAATGACGTCACATTTAAGTGTTCTGGTAATTCCACAGAACTGGAGTGGCTCATTTTGTCATTTTATATCTGTATATCTATTTAGATTTCGTGTTCCTACTAGAGAAATTGCAAAAAAATGGCTAGATTTGCCGAAAAATGGCTAAAAAATTTTTTAGCCTTAATTTAGCTTTTTTCCAATCATCATCTAGCCACTTTTAAAATTTGTTGTTGGCAAGATGAAGATGATCCTGATGAAACACAAACAACTACTACAATCAGAACAAACCCTGAAAGAATTTACAAAGAGGCATTGGCGAAAGCAGTGGACAACATTTTAGAATAGGAGGATGAATATGATGATGACTCATGCGAGAAGGAAGTTAATGAAGATATTTGTGTCATATGCGGTGATTTTCGAGAAAAAGGGAACTGTGGTTAAGATACGTAGTGTGTACATGCGGCTTGTGCCGATGATACACGTGACGAGTATATTTGTGATTGTTGCCTTTGAAAAGTAATGTACATCAATCTTTGGAAGAAGTCCATGGTAACTCAAAGTGGAGTGGTATATTTCATAGATGAAGAAACCCAAAGTAATCTCCACAACATTTATTTGACGATCAGAGATCGATCACATAAAGGTACATGTCTCGGGCTTATATAAGCCCATCATCAGCCGAATACAAGAATTAGTTCTAGACAAACCAACAATGACATAGGATATAGATACAATGAATATTCACTTACATGGAAATGAAAAAGTTGAACTTTTGATAATTTAGACAATAAAATGGCACAAGACAAAGACGTGTGCACCATGATCTGGAAAACAATGGTATAATAAAATTATTTATTTTTCAAAAACGTTTTTATTTATGGAAAGGGTCGGGTTATTAATTTTATAAGGGCCCACGTGCCCTTAAATTGCCAAAGGTGACAATTACACATATTGAAAATCAAACAAAGTTTGATGAGGTCTCGAAGTTAACCTGTGAAATAATAAACTCAAATCACGTGTAATAAAACTGTAAAAATCGAGTTGTCAAGAAGAAACATGACAGACATCATGTCTTGTCAACCAGATCACGGAACAAAAGTCTAAAGACATGGAATACTAAATAATAATGTAACAACCACGAAACAATAGCAGCAATACGTCAGATTGGGAATATATTCAAGATTGATTAACCAATAACTTGGCGTCAGTCAGCCGACCTGTAATGAAGAGCAAGGTGAGAAAATAATATTGGAAATTGTTGACAAATTATTGAGAGAATTTTAAAGAATTGAAAAATTTGAGGCAGTCAAAGTGAGTTTGTTCGTTCAGAGAAGTGGAAATTGCACAAAATGATACTCTACCGTTTCTAGATTTATTAATCACAAAAATGTTGACAACTTCAATTTTGCTATATACAGGAAACCAACACACACAGATTCTGTAATCCCCTTTTCCTCCTGTCATCCAAATTCTCATAAATTTGCAGCATTCAACAGTTTAATCCATGGACTATTCAATATTCCACTCTTTCCTGAAAATTTCAATGCTGAATTGAATACCATTAGACAAATAGCACTCAATAATGGTTACCTCTTTCATTTGACGTGGGCCTTACAAAATTAATAACCCTACCCTTTCCATAAATAAAGATTTTAATGTTTTTAAAAAACAAATAATTTTATTATACCTAGTAAGTTTCAATTTATTCTCTCTCACATCATCTAAACCATTGTTTTCCAGATCATGGTGCATACGTCTTTGTCTTGTGCCATTTTATTGTCTAAATTATCAAAAGTTCAACTTTTTCATTTCCATGCAAGTAAATATTCATTGTATATCCTTTGTCGTTGTTGGTTTTCCTTGAACTAATTCTTGTATTCGGCTGATGATGGGCTTATATAAGCCCGAAACACGATCTCTGATCGTCAAATGAATGTTGTGGAGATGACTTTGGGTTTCTTCATCTATGTAAAATGTACATTACTTTTTATTCAAGTATTGGGCAATGGCGGATTAAGCCGCCATTACCTCATCGTGGAAGGTAATGACCACTGAATAAGTTCAAAAAGTGCCGTGTTCAGTTTCGTTAATTTTTACTTTGATAATAAACATCTCATTTCTCAGGTTACTAACTCACAATTGACAATTGACAAGATAAGATTCACAAAATAGCCTAGTCGGCTATTATTCCCTACCTCTGCCCTAAGTTGTCGTATTCTGAAGAACCCTCGAACCTTGATAAATCAAGAGTTTTTCCTGTTTGATGAGACTGAATTGAGTATCAATATTCTTAAAAATAATTCACCTACCTGGTGGCGATGAAATGTTGGTGAACAGCTTCTGCTAGCTCTCTTGCATTTTCCGATTCCCCACCTGGAAGCAAGAATCCTAGTCTTTTTCCTAGCACAAGGGCACAAGAAGTTTCTAGTCCTAATCGTCCCATAACATCTTCCAAATTGAGAATCTCGTTGTTTTTGGTACGCTGTTGTCTTATGAGATTACAGCAGTCATCTGCTATTTCATTCACTTGGGGTAGGAATCCTAGGATTGTTTTGGGGCTTGTTAAATCACTCGTTAGAGATGTTCGTAAGTGATGCCATACTTCACCTAAACAATAGAAAACGGTAGTGTTATATCCCTCCGGATGATAAAACATCGATTCAGCTATATTCTAACGTGTTGAATTTATTATTTTTTCTTTTTAATTCCCTTTTCCACTCGGCACACTCGAACTTTTTTCGTACTTTTTTTAGTCTTCAGTTGCCATATTTTATGTTTTCAATGATGAATGGATTTTATGTATTTGATAAAGGATGGATAAGAACTGAAAGTATGATTCAAGTCCAATGGAAAACGGTATGGTCTGATCAAATCGGAAGAATATCGACATCGCACTTGTCAGTTTGAGGTTCTCATTATCTTCTTCAGTAAAATGACAGTAACGAGACCGGGAATTCAGAATATATCTATCCAACTGTTGCAGTATGCCTTTACAATCAATAAGATATCCACTACAGGTTCAAAAAATGGCAGAAGATCAATAAAAATTATGTAAAATGAGAATTTACCTAAAGAGATCACTGGTTTTCGATATAAAAATGATTGGCATTTCAGTTAACGATTCAATTTCTTCCCAAGAAAATGAAGTGGACAATAGACCTTCGAGAAATATCAAAGTCATATCAACTATGTTTGTTTGTTTATAAGGCGAAGTAAGGAAATGTGCTAATGGATTTCTGTCGCAAATTTTCAAAGAAAAATGTACCAGAGTAACGACTAGAGCGTTGTTAATATTTTGTGAATTATACCTGTAACTTTTTTTGAGTAGAATCGATTTGACGGTTCAAAACAACGAGTAGGGACTGCGGAGAGCTCAATATCTCTGAGTAAAAAGCCGCTTGAAAGCCCTTTCGCCGACAAAAGCGTCCCTTTGCCGGCCCACAAAAATCAGAAGAAATTATTGAAACACGAACGAACGAATAGCATAACCGCCTGGTGTCAAACCAATTTGTGAAGATAATGTCTTTTCACCTACGGCCACTATAGAAAGTAGGCAAGAACACTCGAGATACAGCCTCAGTAAGTAGCTTTTTACGCACAGTAAGCACATCGCACAGTTTTCGTTTATTCCGCCAGTCATGATCGCGTAATCGCGACATAACTATCAAGAATTATAATTCAAACTGTTTGTCCGAACTTTTTTGATGTACTATATGGCAGTAGGTAAAGTATTTTTTTTATGATCTGGTTCCCACAAGAAGGGATATCCTGTAATGTTCAGAGAACATCATGAGAATCAAGGGAAATAAGGTAGGAATTCTTGTTCTTGAATTTCTGGAGGTTATATGCCACGGGAAACACCTCCCTTGGCAATGTGTTCCAGAGTCTCGCTGTTCGTTGGATGAACGAGTTGGAAAGAGATGTTCCGCAGGTCTCCAAAGTGACCATGAAGGGGTGCGAAGCCTCAACTCGACGGGTTTATCTCGTGGGGACTGCCAAGGGAGGCACAATTGTTTGATATTTCAGAAGAGCATCGTCCATGGAAATATATATAAAATAGATCCAGATCGCCAACTTTTCTACGGTGTTCCAGAGTAGTGAGTGAGTTTGTGAGCGAGGCATCACCCACGCCTTTTTTGGACATAATCCAACAGTTTCAGGGTATGTTTGGGTGCTGCACTCCAAATATGGGAACAGTATTCCAGGACAGGTCGGATCTGTGCTTTATAGATCATAAGCAGCTGACTGGAAGTGAAATAGCTCCTGACCCGAGACAGAAGACCAAGTTTTTGGGATGCACTTTTAGCAATTGATCTCACGTGATTTTCCCAAGGAAGGTTATTGCTGATAGTAATACCAAGCATCGAAATGGATGTCTTCAAAGGTATGTTTACTCCTGACAAGCTTATGTTGGGCACAGTGAGATCGGCTTTACTAGAGAAAAGGCATGCTTGTCATCACGTTTGGGGATGATGACAAGTGGAGAACCCTAATCAGTGACAGCAACAGAAGATATCATACCATCGGCTTCCAATTCCTTCTCCAGTAGCTCACGAATCGCGTACGGAACAACTCGCTCTCTGCTGTAGACGGGTTTGGTATCTTTACGGAGTTGAAGGGAAACCTGGAAATTCGGCAAACATCCAACCTTATCCAGAAGAATCGAAGGGGAATGATTGGGAATGTCTTCAGTTGATCTAATCGGTATCTCGGTATTTTCAACAAGGCTGGACTCGTGCCAGTGATCCTAGACACGTTTCACTACGATACTAGAATCACACCGCCCCCGCCGCCTCTTTATTGACTCCCGAATTATCCTTGCTCTTGTGTGGGATATTTTGGTATTTTCGGCTAGGCCGTACTCGTGCCTGTGATTCTAGATACGCTTCAATACGATACTAGAATCACCCCGCCCCCGCCGCCTCTATTGAATGCAGAATTATCTCCGGTTCTGTGTGAGGTATTTTGGTGTTTTTAGGTAGGTCATGCTCGTACCTGTGATTCTAGATAATTAGATAATTTTCCTTACTATTCGAATGTACCGATGTATGGAATGGGAAGTCAACTTGATCCTAATACAACAACAGAGGAACCAATTTTGATTCTAGACACGTTTCAATACGATACTAGAATCACCCCGCCCCCGCCGCCTCTATTGAATGCAGAATTATCTCCGGTCCTGTGTGAGGTATTTTGTTGTTTTTAGCTAGGTCATGCTCGTACCTGTGATTCTAGATAATTTCACTACGCTACTAGGATCACACCGCCCCCGCCGCCTCATTATTGATTCCCGGATTATCCTTAGTCCTGTGTAGGATATCTCGGTATTTTAACTAGGCCGTACTCGTGTCTGTGATTCTAGACACGTTTCACTACGAAATTAGAATCACGTCGCCTCCACCACCCCTCTACTGATCTCGGAATTATTTCTAGTCTTATTTCGGATATTTCAGTATTCCCTACGAGGCCATACTTACTACCCGTGATTCTAGATACGTTCCACTAATAAACTAGAATAACGTCGCCTCCACCGCCCCTCTACTGATCCCAGTTTTATCTTCAGTAGACATTAGACTGAGATAATTCTGATCCCGAAATCACCTCGAGTCCTGTTTCGAATATTTCGGTATTCTCTACGAGGCCATACTACTCCCCGTAATCCTAGATACATTTCAGTACGAAACTAGAATCACGCCGCCTCCACCGCCCCTTACTGATCCCAGTATTATCTTCAGTAGACATTAGACTGAGATTATTCTGATTGTTGAAACGGTAGCAGTTAGGTCTAACTGCACCACACGAATCTAGTCATCACCGTCGAGTGCCCTGGAGATTCTCTAGGAAGCGAATCAGGTTCCTGATTTGGAGTTGTTGCAGCCTACGAAGCTATCGGGAGGAAGAGTATCCAGAAGAGCCGCTAATGATATAAATGGAATAAATAGAGTACACCTTAACATTGTAGGAATAGGAAATAAATTCAGCCATCTATCGTAAACATCTAGTCTTTTGATTTCACCAAATCTGACAGTAAATTAAAGAAAACCTGAATCCTGGACGTCTCATCGGTGCTGATCTAATCCCGCAGTCAAAAACGTCACAAATTTGGCGCCCGAGCAGGGACCGTAGTTTTCCGTTTTGTCAGACCAGATAAGGTGGAACACTCTCAGAACGACTGAATTCAGGCTTACGGATATGTACAAATTCCGCAAAGAAGATTTGCAAGACCGCTTCAGGACTGTTGGCATCAACGCAGAATTGACAGTAGAAGAACTACGAGAAAGAATGAGAATACACATGCGGCGCTCACTGAATGAAGAGGGCTCAGTACGTGACCAATATGACCAAGATGACCAAGATAACCAAGATGACCAAGAGGAACAACTCATACTTCCCGGACGCAACATACCTGACCTATCTCACCAAGGAGCCATACCAAAGGTGACTAAATCCAGGATAGGCCATGAGGTTAACTCAGCAGAGTATGCTGACAGAAACCAGCATAGGCACACTTCCAGAGCGAATACGCTGCCAGCAGAAGGAGCTACCCCGCACAGGACCGAATGCCAGATAGACGAGAAAACTGTCCCCCACAATATGATCGAACCATGCCGACTGGAAGGACTAATTTTCCTTACTATTCGAATGTACCGATGTATGGAATGGGAGGTGAACTTGATCCTAATACAACAACAGAGGAACCAATTTTGAAGGCACTCGACAGAGTTCGGAAGTGGAACGTACACTCCGATGGACGGAAAGACCCTGTAGGATTCTTATAAAGAATTACTGAATTACAAGAAGCCTATAATTTCACTGACGCCCAGTTGCCGCGTGCGCTGCCAGAACTTCTGCGTGATAAGGCACTATTTTGGTACCGTAACAAAAACAACGATGGCAGACCTGGGAGGACTTTCGGTCCAGCTTCCGACGTTTCTTCGCCTCTTCTGAATATCGAATTCGCATGGAAAAGGAAGCAAGGAGAAGAACCCAGGGTTTGAATGAACCTATAAAGGACCATATTACTGCTCTCCAAACGATTTTTCTTAGAATTGGTGATATAAGCCCAGAGCTAGAGCTGGAGCGTATCTATCGAAACTTGCGACCAGCATATAAATATAACATCAAGAAAAGAGAAGTAAGGACGACAGATATGTTAGTCGAGCTAGGCGAAGAATACGAAGTATTGATAAAGGAAGAAAGCAATTACCGTCCTCCGTCCAACTTGGCTCAGGCTTACCTACCAGAAACAGCTTTCCTGCCTAACCCTAGACAAAATACTCGTGAGATATCAAGGAATCCGAGACAATGGCCAGCACAGAATAGAAGAACGTCTCCGATTCGAAGAGGGCCAGCGAGAGCCGTAGACCGACTGGCAAATATTTCACAAAACCAACCCCCGCGACCTCCTCCAGAAAGAACCCAACAGCCGACAGGACGTACAGATAGCCTTTGTTGGAACTGTGGAGAACATGGGCACACCAAATTCACGTGTAGAAATCCACCTAGGAGATTTTGCTCGGGGTGCGGGAGACAGGGACTCTTATCGAGAGATTGCTTGCTGCCGTCGCCCTGGACAAGGCCCGGTTTCAACCCCGATACCCACAAGC